GATGATGATACATGGTGATGGTGATACATGATGATGGTGATGATGATCCATGATGATGGTGATGATGATAAGGATGGTGATGATGATGATGATGGTGATGATGATGTGGATTATAATGATGATAATGACAATGATTATTAAATAAAGTAAATATTTCAGGTTGAACCTACATACAGATGACATACTTGAGTGCACCCAGCCATCGATAGAGTATGTCAACCAGATTAATGTCATCCTGCCAATAAACCCAGATATCCTTGAAAACGCCAATCATTTGATCAATCGAAGTTCATTTGCTCTTATTAAAGTCATCCCACCTGGGAAGCGAAAGACTGCTAAAATCTTTGAAGTCACTGTGGAGGCTTTGAAGAAAGATTCTGTAGTCTTTCTGGTAAGTACTTTATGAATCTGAAATTATATGTTAGTTACGTATACCGTGTTTTAAATAAATATTATTATTGTTGTTATTATTATTACTATTATTATTATTATTATTGTCATCCATCCATAATTATCTCATTATTATTATTATCATTATTATTATTATCTATCCATCCATCCATCCATCCATTCCTCATTCCCATTATTCTTTTTCCCATTTCCCATTCATTCCTATCTATCTCTTTTCAGATTAGCGAAGCGTTAGAACTTGTGATAAAGCAAGCCAAGTCTCCTCTCCCTGCAGACGTCTGTTTTCGGTTCGTGGACACCTACAAGTTCATGCATAAAGCCATAGACAACATAGATCTCCTTTGCGTCTTTCCATCGGATCGTTCTGGCCTCTCTCTTGAATGGGAAGTCGAAGCACACGCTTTCCTAAATAAACCCCAGGCCACTGCCCTCAGTCACATTTTGGACCCTCGCCCCAAGCCTCCACTTCTAATCTTCGGTCCATTTGGGACGGGAAAGACTAGAACTATCGCGGAAGCTGTCAAAGAACTGTGTCGCTTACACTCAGGAAACCCTGAAGAGAATCTTCGTATTTTGATTTGTACTCACTCTAATAGCGCCGCTGACCATTATATCGTGGACTACCTTCATCCCTTTATAACTTCAAAGAAATCTGGAAGCTTCTTATGCAAGCCGCTCAGAATATGCTGGGAAAACCGTTTTATAAACTCTGTCAGCTTGACTGCCCTAAAATACTGCTTGATTGATAAGAAGACGGGTAAATTTGCTGTTCCAGATAAGCAATGCCTGGATAGATACAGGGTGGTCGTCACGACGCTTGTGACCGCTGATGTCCTGGTTGGGCTCGGGTTGCCTTCTGGGTATTTTAGTCACGTGTTTATAGACGAGGCTGCACAGGCCATGGAGGCGGAGAGTATTATTCCGTTGTGTTTGGCACAACCTTCCACGAGGATAGTACTGGCGGGAGATCATCTACAGGTAATGATAGGCATCAGTTATATCTGCATTCATCGTCATCATCATCACCACCACCTTCATCATCAAATCCATCATCATTCATCATTCATCATCACCATTATCATCATCATCCTCACCACCATCATTCATCATCACCATTATCATCATTATCACCACCATCATCCATCATCACCATTATCATTATCACCATCATCGTCATCCATCATCACCATCATCATTCATCATCACCACCATCATCTTTCATCATCATCGCCACCATCGTCATCCATCATCACCATTATCATTTATCATTCATCATCATCGCCACCACAGTCATTCCTCTTAACCATCACTATCACTTACCGTTTTTCGACCAATAGCTTTGCTTGACATTCTCTATCAAATAACAGTTTTATAAAAGAGATAATTACCATGGTAACGTTCTATATCTTTCCTTCATCACACGTAGCTTGGCGCTATCGTATCCTCCCGCGTAGCTCGACGCCTAGCCCTCGACCGCTCTCTTCTTGTCCGCCTCTACGACTTCTACTCAGAAACATCAAACTGTAGACTACTTCTTCTAGAAAACTACCGCGCCTACAAAGACATTGTAGACATTCCTTCGAAGCTGTTCTACGAGGGTACGTTAGTGGCTCACAAGACTAGACCACCGTCCTCTCAATACCCAGTTCACTTCCATGGCGTCCTCGGGAAGGAAGCAAGGGCTCCTGATATCGGTTCGTACTTCAATATGGCCGAAGCTGCGGAGATCTGCGAGAGGGTTGAAGAACTCGTTGATAGATGGACTGCTGAGAGTGATGAAAATATTGCTCTGGAGAATATTTGTGTTTTAGCACCGTACACTGCTCAGGTGATTTTGAATTGACCTAGCTTTTTACCTATACCAGGCGGCCATCTTGAACTTTTGTTTTGGTTAAGGCATTTTGTGATGTCGAAGGGGCAACCATTGGAAAATTTATAGACTGCACAGCTGTCATGGTGTCTTTTTATACGACCTTACGCTTTCCAATGAGAAGCAAGCACATCTACAAAGCAATTGAATTTGCTGGTAGTTGGAACAATGTAAAGAACACCAAGACTTCAAATCATTTGAAAATGTAAACACGCAACTCTAAGTTTTATAAATTTTCTACGTGTTTTCCCCCTTGACATCCCATAATCCAAGACGGCCGCCGTATCGGTAAAAAGGTATATCGTAGCTTGTCGGGTCTTTCCCTTCGTTCAAGGATATTTTTCCAGGTTCTCCGGTTTTCCTCCTTCGCAAAAATCATCCTCTAAACAACTTGAAATATTTGCCACACTCTAAGTTCACGGTTTTCGTGATTTTGAAATCTCTTTGAATTTTTAAGGTATCGTTAACTGAAACAAAAAAGTGTTGCGAAAATTAAGTAACCCTGAAAATCGTTTCCATTATTAAAGAAAACATATAATCTATGGAGAAAGTGGGGTAAGATAAGATAATAGGCCTAAATTTCTTTCCAATTTTGAAATACTCTGACGACTACAAAGACTGGAAGCCGAAGTTTGTAATCTAGTCTATCTAATCTACTAGTAATCTAGTAATTTGGCAGGCAGATGAATTTTTTTGGAATGAAATTATCGCCAAATTGGAAGACGTGTAGTCCTATTGCATATTAATTATATCATATCAAACTCACGATTATAGAAAAAATACGCATAAATATCATGTCAGAAATTCGTCCAGATATAACGGTATTGCCTTTGGAGACTTAATGGAGGATGGATTGGACTGGGTGTCTGTTGACTTGATCTTGCTTGGATCTCAAAAAATTGGTTTATCGAATTTTAATGTTTTGAAAGGGTGTGGATAATCCTTATATATAGGAAAAACATGCCTAACCTTTAAATTTTGATTAATGCTTCTAAATTCCTGATTTTTGAGAGATTTTTCATTTTGGAAAATTTGGAACCGTGCATGGCTGGAATGGACTGGACGTCGGTTAAAAGGATTTTCGGATCGGAAAACGTTTTTCGCGCCGAATTTGCAGCTTTTATGGTGCAATTCTTGTTGCTACATTCATAACTAGTATTTTTATTGTAAAAGTCTAAAAAGAAATTTTAAGAAAATATTTTTTTTCCATATTTGGTAAACATCGTATTGGATCCTGTATCGTAAAAACGTTCTTCTCTGGAACAACTCGCTTCTTATTCGCAGCAACTCGTCTAGTATGCAGCAGTTCGTTTCTTATTTCAGCAGCTCGTTTTCTTATTTGCAGCGATTCGTTTCTTATTTGCAACACATAATTTAAGTAAATCTGGAATCGTATACACTGAGAGATGGGACGGTACGTCGGTTGACTTGATGTTGCTTGGATCTCAAAAAACTGGTTTGTCAAATTTTAATATTTTAAAAGAATATCGATAATCCTTATATATAGGAAAAACATGCCTAACCTTTAAATTTTGATTAATACTTCTAGATTCCTGAAATTTTTTATTTTGGACAATAAGCCTGAAGAGAAATGACGTTTTACCCCCGTCTCTAGACCATAATCCTTTTCACATTGCTTTTGTAATTTAATTATTACTATCGTTCCTGTATTCTCTAAGGAATCAGAAATTTTAATATGAAAGAATTTTAAAAACTATTATGGTATAGAGTCGGGGGTAAAACGTCATCTCGCTTCAGGCTTATTCGCAAGCGAGCATGGCTGGAATGGACTGGACGTCGGTTTAATGGAACTTCGGATCGTAACACTTTTTTTACGCCTATTTTGCAGCTTCTATCATCGAATTCTTGTTTTTATATCCATAACTCTCATTTTTATGCAGAATGTTTACAAAAAAAAATTTTTCCCCAGGAATGTAGAACAATATATTGGGTCTCTTGGATTATAAATTTGTGCTTCTTGTCTGGCCATCCACCAGTAGTCAAACACTTTAGTACTTTTGAAAATGTGATATTAAAGTCTATTGAGTGTATTTGGAATGTCATTCCAATAAAGTATTAAGAAATTGTTTGAAATATTTTTTAGGTTCGAGAGATTCGTCAGTTGTTGCGAAAGAAGAAGCTTGGACAAGTTCGAGTGGATGGCGTGAATAATGTTCAAGGTTTGGCTCTTTAGTTTTTAAATCTTACTGTATAGACATRGCTTTCCAGAAAAATTATTATCCTATGAGTGAGATGCGTACTGTGCTGACTTAAAGCGCAAACGATACGACATCCCGTAACACTGAAATGTCTTCCCATAAGAATGTTTATCCTACGAGTGGGATGCGTACTGTACTGACTTAAAGCACGTAAACGGTACGACATCCCGTAACAATGAAATGGTTCCCATAAGAATGGTTATCGTATGAATAGGAAACATACGGTACTGACTCACAGCACGTACATGGTACGACATACCGTAACATTAAAATGGCTTTCCATAAGAATGGTTATCGTATGAGTGTGAAACGTACGTTACTGACTTTTAAAGCACATACATGGTTCGATATGCCGTAACATTGAAATGGCTTCCCATTGTCTTCCAGAACTTCATCCAATCAAAACGCGTAGTTGCGGCTACGGTAAGATACGGTACGGCTACTGTGTGGCTCCGAATTTGCCGTATAGTTTCCCACCAAGAGAATACTTCATATTCTCTTCTTTCCCACTTTTATCCATAATGATGCACTCTATATTTTTGTTGTTGTTGACTTACTATGTTTTATAGCTTAGCATACCTAAATAATTGTTTTGCAGGGTTAGAGTTTGATGCACTTTTCATAAGTACTGTTCATACCTCATACTCGATGTCCGTGGAGGCGCTAGAGCGTGATGAACTGGGCTTCCTGTCTGATCCACGGCTTCTGAACACCGCTGTTACTCGAGCGAAGTATCATTTGGCATTTGTTGGTGACCCTAGTGCTCTGTGTGGGGCTGGTGAATGTAAGGCTTGCTGGAAGACAATATTAAGCAAGTAAGTGATGAGTATTTTTCACAAAATGATTAGGACAACATTTTTATGAGTGGAGCAACTGAAGAAATAGAAAATGCGCGTGCGTGCTGTGTGTAGTTATCTCCCTGGTAGTTATAAAGCACGCGGGAGTTGGCAGAACACAAGAGAAATGATAGGAGAAGTACCGCGTAGTGGATCTGTTTATCCCCAAGAGCTTTATAAATTTACGCACAGCAAGCAAAATACAAATTAGTTTAACCGTTATTTTGGATACGAATGACAAAATAGAAAGTGCGCGTGCGTGCTGTGCTCTCATAAAGCACGCGCTCCCATCCAATCAGAACGCGAGATTCATAACAGGTATTTTATAGAATACGATAAAATAACTTCATTTTTTATATATTTCATAGGTGCAATGAGAACGGTACATTCCATTATCGTCTGTCGTTCGAGAAGGTCATTGAATACACCAAATTCAGCTCTCATACTTCACAGCCCACTTTAGACGATCCGAGCAATAACGCGAACTCTAAAGCACTGCCTCGTTTGGCTCATGGAACACAAGCTCCGTCCAAAGGTACTGCCGTCACCAGCGAGAGGCCCACATCGTCACCTAATATATCCACCACAGCTGGCACGTGGAATGGCGGGGTCAATGGTAATGTGTCAATGCCTCATCCATTTCTATCGCGTTTTCAGTTCATGCCTCACAGACCCACAACATCTGTGCCTACTTCCGGTGTAGGTATTGGAGTCCCTACGAACATGATGTACGGTGCCCCACCACGACCCCCGGGTAACGTTATGTACCCGCCAGGTCAAATACCGGTGTATCCAGGAACACCTACCGGGTATATGCGAGGAGTGGTCATGCCGCCTATGTACCCACCTACAATGCTTCCTCGTTCGAGCTTCCCGTTTTCTGCGCTTACTCCTCCAGTTTCCTTGGTAACTGTTTCTAAACCAGGTCAAGTTCAAGGTCACGGTCAGCCAACTAGCCAAATGTTCCATCCAAGACAGTTGAATTTTAATGGTCAGTTTACTGCCCCATATGGTGACAGAAATCCAGGCCAAGGTCAAGCTCACGGTCAAGGTCAGCCTGCAGGTCACATGTTCAATCCAAGTTCACAACAAATGGCTTATCAGTACACGGCGGCTCTAAATGGATCACCACTTTCTGGCCTGAATTTAATGCAGCTAAATTACCTCAACCCTAATGCAAGTCCATTCCCATATCCTGGACAAGCTCAAACTCAACGAGAAAGTCCTGTTCTTAGCCAATGCAGCAGCTCATCATCAGATCTATTCACTGGAGTATCCCAGGCACAAAGTACTCCTACTCCACCGCCTCATACTCCTAGTCCTATTCCTCAAGCAGTCAGCTCTCCATCCCCAACTTCATTGAGTCCAACGGTGCTCCCAGCACCACCACCAGCGAATCAAACGCCAACAGAAAACCCTGGAGTACGAAGTTATGCTCAAGTTGCAAGGCAAGCTTCTGCAAAGGACGAACAAAATCTTGACGCCTCATATTCGGGGTCTCCTCTTTCCCAGGTTGTCCAGAATTTAACATACAACGTAACCTTCAGGCAACAGATTCTTTTGGAGGAAGAAAAATGGCTGCTTGAGATTTCTGCTGATCCTACTACTGCAAAGGCTATAGCTGATAATATCCAGAAGCAGCATCAATTACTAGAAGAGGAGCGAAGGAATGTCCTACGACGTCTGTCTTTAAATGAGGCACTCGCGAGGCATCTCAACGTCGACTGCTCTGCAGCTTCAAATGCTGGCAAAATGTGTAAAAGACCCTTTAAACTCGGAAATGAAATGCAGGAACAAGATGAAGAGGAACTTGGAAACCTAGAATCGTTATCTATAACAGATGATGCAAGGTATGAGGAATTCCATGACTCGGACACTGAAGAATGGTTTCAGTCGCGTCGCGATGATCCTTTAGTCAAGGAGTATATCAAAGCGTTCGAGTCACTTGTACAGGCTTTTTCGCCCGACACAGACGATGAAGACTATTTCCATAGCAACGACGAGGAAGAGTTTCCAAGTGACGTAGTTCCATTTGCAACGCGCGGCCAACCGCCAAACTGGACATTGGAGCCAAGTAACGACGTCTCCTATATCGGGAATGTAATTCACCAAGAATACTTAGATGAGCGGACTGTTCATTCCATGCTTTTGAGTGATGAGCTTCTTCTTTGTACCCTGGAGATTAGCAGTTCCATTGGTGGCTCTTGGGGTTATGCYAAGGTCCTAGACCAAGATATCAAGGCAATGCTCTTGGGAATTCCCAAAGAGAGGGCTGGAACACGATGTAAGGACGATAACTGTTCAGATATCATTATCTCAAATCGATCAGATATGAACCGGGCACTCAATGGTGACATCGTCGCAGTGGAAGTAATCCACCGAACGTCTCAGCAAATTCGCGGCAGAGTCGTATTCCTTTACAGAGAAGTTCATTCTAGAGAATACGTCTGCTTTGTGGACCTTCAAGATTCAAATATCATGATCCCAATCGACAAGACCAACCCGAAAGTCTTTGTGCTTCAGAGCAAAGATCATCGTGGAGAAATCGGAGTTGCTGTATTTTCCATCAAAGATGGCGAAACTCATTGCCAAGCATTCGAGACTGAGACAAGTGGGAAACTCTTTCTTGTTCGTTTGCTGGAATGGGGATCAAACTATCGCTTTCCTCTGGGGATTGTCAGGAAATGTTTCCGAGAACCTTATGATCTTAACTCTGCTGTTCCTGTCTTTGCTGCAGAATATGGCATACGGCTTAGCCAACCTAGTGATGCCCTTAGCGAAGTAAGGAACGCCTACCACGACTCCTGGGAAATACCCATTGCTGAATTACAATGGCGTAATCATCGCTACTGCAATGTCTTCACTCTTGACTGCAGCTCCTCGCTTGGTATCGAGCTAGATGACGCTATAAGTATTAAAAGGGAAAGCAATAGTATGTTCGAAGTTGGTGTCCATGTATCAGACGTGAGCTACTTCGTGCCCAAAGGTTCTTGCATTGATCAGGCTGCATATCTCCAAGGTTTGTCAGTCTACCCAGACCAGGAGCATGGCCCTTCAATTAATATGCTTCCAAGGCGTTTAAGTCAAGGTCTCTGTAGCTTGGTGCCAGGAGAAGAAAGGCTTGCAGTGTCTGTTGTTTTCAAGCTTGACAATGAAGGGAGAATGGTCGGACAACCAGACATTCATCGTAGTGTCGTGGTGTCTTGTTGTAATCTTTCCTTTGAGGAATGTGATGCTATCCTTGCTGGCGATTCAAGACAAAAGCTGCCGGGAAACATCGAACGAGATGTCGCTCTTCTCAGCAAGTTGACCAGAAACATCGCAGCGAGGCAAGCAAGGCAAGGGTGCATAGCTGGGATAGTGAATTCTGTTCGTAAAAATGGCTCAAAATCTTCCCAAATGGTAGAACAGCTGATGATAATGACTAACTCTGCTGTAGCACAGAGGATGTTGTTGTCAGAAAGAACAAGGCATTTGGCGCCATTAAGAAGACAGCTGCCGCCAAAGGTTCATTTATTAGAATCTCTTAATCAATGGTGCAGAGACAATGGGGTCCTCCAAAGTGGATCTCTATCGCTAAGAAGACTCCAGGACAATGCTAGGCCACAGGACGAGGCATTCAAAGACATGAAGATCGAGTTGTCCTGCCTGGGGCACATTTCCACTGCTATCAACGCAGATAACCTTACTCAACTAACTGAAGCTCTTCTCAAGTGTGATGAAGACCCTCTTATCTCAGAAGCTCATTCCCGCCTCTGTCTCATCCAGGAACGAAGCCAGTACATCGTGTCATCCAGCTCCAACGCCGTCGTACTGAAGCATTTCACACTTGGGTTAGAATGTTACACCCACTTCAGTTCTCCGCTAAGAAGGTACTTTGACTTGGTGGTTCATCGTTGTCTTCTGGCGTTGATCTACGACGGGGAATTACCCTACAGTGAAGCTGAACTCCAAAAGATTTGTTTTGATTGCCAGGTAAGGTCTTTCCCCTCGCTTTATGACTTTCGCAAAGATGTAAGGTAATATAAACTTAAGTTTCTGCACTTTTTGGGCGAGATTTTCCCCGCTATTTCATTGGGGTCTGATGGTACTCTCCTGAAACTCTTTGAAATTATTTTTTGAAATATTGTTTTAGAAGGGCACATTTTAAAAAGCCATTAAAAAAAGGATAAATAAAACGTCAGGGACGGCGGAAGAGTTTTTAAAGTAGTGCCACACACCCAAACATTTGACAAAATAAAAATGCAATTTTCAACAATGAAATGTCATGGCATATTGTACGCTTCCGCGCGCGCTTTTCAGAGGTACTTTATATTCCTTAGAAACGCCTAGAAAAAACTATCTTGCAAATACTGTTACGCATTCTACCATAGAGGATTAAGCAAGCAACATTGTACAAATCTCGATTCTTGCGAAGTAATTTTAATGATTGACGAAAACAATGATGTATTTCAGGTAACTTCAAGTCGAGCGAATGTCTTCGAGAAAAACTGTTCGTCGACAGCTTTGGCGAACTCGCTTCGTTTTTCTCCAAAATGGCGGACAGCAAAGATTGAACGTGTTTCTCCTGATCGCATCACAAGTATCTGTAAGATATCTGACAGCAGTAAGCCGTTGAATATATGTACTAAAGTGCAAGAATTGAGACCAGTGAAAACTGAATTTGCTACAGCAGATAAAGGTAAATTGAGCTGAGCTGAGCTGTGCTCTGCTGTGCTTCGTTATGATGTACTTTGAGTCGGGTTGCGCATGTTTGCTTTATATCAATCCTGTTCCGCTATGTTGTACTTAATTCTACTGCATTCTGCTTACCTATTTAATGTTGTATTTTACTCTTTTCATCTGTGCTCTGCTACTCTCCTTTTCTTGCTTATTGCGTTCAAGAATAATTTTTTCAATCCGATCTCCACAGAGCTGCGTCTGACGTGGGAAAGTCGAGAAACCTTCACAAGTAGTTCACAACAAAACCCCAAGTCTCCATCTCAACCCAAGAGCGACACTTTCTACGCTAGAATCCCGTCTACGAGCTGGGTTTCCTTCGTTTCAGAAGTCGCGCGCTCCAACCTGAAAAAAGTCATCAAGGAATGGAAAAAAATCAACTCGAGTTCTTTAGTCGTGGATCACACCCCGTCAGTGACAGGTTCAGTCAGCGATACGGAACTTACCCGACCAACAAGCGAAGCGCAACAGGGTTGTACTAGTCGATTCCGTGCAAACAACCGCCTCCAGGTTCTGTTTGGAAGCGAGAAAAGACGGGGTTTGCTTCAACCTGATGTTCAGGGTGTCCACGTGACGGGAGCTGGGTTCTCTTGCACGAGGCACCAGAGAAGTCCAGATAGTTGTTTTTGCGCTCCTCTGACGTTCCMAACTCTACCTTACTATTTGGATGAGCAGCATTATCAGGGGGTGATGGTGCCACTGCTGGAAGCTGAGGCTGCAGTAGCGGTGATGGGGTCTGGTGGTAAACGATTTGTGGTGGAAGATGTGAAGCTTAGCTGGGTAACTGGGTCTGGGACATCTGGTAAGCCAATACTTGGTAAAAATGACAATTGTGGATCACTGTACCTTGAGTAACGCAATACTTAGATACGATGAAAATTGTAGGTCACTTGGCAGAAAGTGAGAAAGAGAGAGCATAAGACATTCCTTGTAACGCAATACTAAGTAACAATGAAATTGTTGATCATCGTGCAGAGAGAGAGAAAGAGAGAGAGTTGACTACTTCTCTTCAACTAAGGACATCGACCTTATTTCGAAACACTTAAATATCTCAAAAGAATAATACCCAAGGGAGTGACGAAATCTGTAATGAAACAAACTTAGCTCCCTTTTGCAAATATTCTTGTTTCTTTGTTTTATGAGAATTATTTTCTTAAATATCCAAACACAAAACCTCAGTGAATCATTGAATCGTTCTCTTCTTAGTTTGTGCAACCATGAAGGTCCTTGATGATGAACAAAGAGGATCCCAACTGTCTGTAGGCGACTACGCATGCGTACGGTCTCTTCATTTTTCTTCCACTGTAAGCACCGAGGATGATTCCTCTGGCAGTGATCACAACATCCTTCTCCACGCACGTGTCGCGCGCGTGATAGAAAACAGAGAGTCCAAAGTTTATACCCTACAACTTGTTGAGCCTTCAAGTTCCTTATCAGCGGACATCATCAACAATGACACGCGCCTGTACGAAATCGAGTGCATTCCTCAGGACCAGCGGTATCGTGTAATGATTCAAGCAGTCAAAGACCTGTATAAAGTCTCCGATGARATTCGCTCTGTTATCCTTCATCAGGACCTRTTATCTAAGCCACACAAGACAAACATGTCTACACTTAAAGGCTTCCCTCTGGAYATTGATCAGGCTGAAGCAGTTAAAGCTGCTCTGAGCTTACCGCTGACCGTTATTCATGGACAACCAGGTAGGAAACGGAAATGACGCAGCGTGTCGTCATCCACGTCACAGGCTTGTTGCCTGAAACACTATATTTTTGTCTGGGTAGCCTTTCTAGTACAACTGTGGCTTAGAGCAATTTTCATATAAAACTATATAAGTATAACGTAGTGTTCCGTGATCGTGACGGTACTGTGTTCGCGCAGTTTGATAGGCTGCGATTGGTTAAAAMAAGTGTCGTAAGTTTTCATAGTTTCATATTCACAGGGTTCCCGCGCGCTATATYCAGCTTTTCGTAACGCATCCAAAGACGTAAGTTTATGAGTCCCCAGTATTCTTGGAGTGCAACCACGTGACTGAAAAATYCCTTGAGAAATATATAACAACGAAACAGCCTCCATCTTCGTTGATCTAACAAGAGAAGCTTATTGAGGAATGCTTTATTATCGTCAACCACCATTGCGGCTATGATGTAACATGCACACCAATAATTAATCTGTGGATCTATTTTTGTCGCCAGGGACGGGTAAGACGTGGACAGCTGTAGCCATCATCTGTCATTACATCAACAGGAACTGGCAAGCTCAGGATGGGCAAGTCTTGGTTTGTGCTCCGACTAATAAAGCACTTGATGTCCTTGCAAGTAAGCAAAACGCCGCACTCACCCCCCCCCCCCCCCCCAGGGGAACCTTGAGTCTCCCAAGCATGCGCAGTTAGAATAATGTTGCTTTAAGGAGGTACAACAATAGAGTCTTTTCCCTAGGAAACTGAATTCTTTCTCATGTAAATGAGACTAGACCAGATTGAATTGCCCCTGCAATTAGTTTTATTGATCTAAGAATTTATTTCAATTTCTAGAAATGCTGGTCAAAGTTCCTTCGGTGAAAATCTTGCGAGTCTACTCTAGACAAGTGGAATCAGAAGCCCTGAGCAAGTCCCAAGACTCTGACGAGCCCACTGTCATACCGGAATGCGAACCTGTCGCCCTGCACATGCGCGTTCGTTCAGCCGACAACCCGAACGCCAACGCGTTGATATTTTGCGCTAAAGAAGTCGAACAGCTGAAAGAAAAAATCGACGAATCCAAGAAAAAAGGCAAAGATTGTGGCGAGCTTGTTAAAAAGTTGATTAGTAGGAAACTAAAGTACAACGCGATTTTAGAAACTGCGGAACGGTACGAATTTACCGAGAACTCAATTCACGTCATTCTCTGCACATGCGTAGAAGCTGGGAGCCCACGCATGCGCAAATTTGCTCGAGTTACGCAGTGCATCGTGGATGAAAGCAATATGTGCCTGGATGCTGAGCTCTTAGTGCCGTTAGTCACTGCTGGTCAGCAGTGTAATCACGTGGTCATAATTGGTGATCATAAGGAACTCGTTCCAGTTCTTCGGAGTAAGTCGGCGAAGAAGTTGGGTCTCGGGAGATCTTTGTTTGAATCTCTTTGTGAACATTACGAAGGAAAGAAGTATACTTGCTGTTTGCTGAGGATGCAGTTCCGTATGGTATGTCGTTTAATGAATCATCTTATTATTAAAGTCATCTTACGATGCTTTGTCATCGTTTGTATTCCTATTCTATATTCTATTCTATGCATGCTATTTAGTATAGATTCTTTTATCTTTGGCGTGATGGTCTTCCATTTCAAATCCCTTGGGGAAAATTTCTTTGCTTGAGTTGCGTCCTTAGAGTATGTTTTCTCAAGCATCAACGCCAAAAAAACGAAATAATACTCAAGGGAATGACATTGTCTGTCTAAGTTGTATTAGTGAGCTCCCTGTGTTGCCGCTGTGATGATCTTGCTTTGAGCATGCGCAGTATGATAGGACTCTGATCGAGGGTGCCTAGATTGACTTAGACACAATCCTCAGTCTTCCTCCTCCAAAACTAGCAACAGGGTCCCCATACACGATAAATGCTTACAAAGGAGAATGTACTTAGACTTACCTATTTTTTCTTACAGCATCCAAGCATCCGCATCTTCAGCTCAGAGTACTTCTACAATAGCAAACCAGTCTTCGACGCGCCAGAAATCACTGACTCCCTCATCAGGATGGATGGGTTCTGGCCCAATAAACATGACGTGCGTCATGTGTTCTGTCACGTGACTGGTAAAGAGCACATGGTCACGTGCTTATCTCTTGGAGACGATCGAGAAGAATGCCGGTTTAACCCTGTAGAAGTCGATAAAATTGTAAGTAGCGTCTTGTTTCCTGGTTGGGTGATATGTAGTTTAAGATGGCTCATAGGAGTTTTTTCCTGAACACAAAAATGAATCTGCAAATGATTCAGATGGACTTCTTTGCGATTGCGAGGTTTGTGGTCTTCGTCAATCTCGACCAAAGTAAAAGCCAAAATAAAAACCAGTTTTGTTAAGATTTTTCTTGGCAGTTTTCTAAATACAGAATTAATTATTTTCGACAATTTTGCGTATTTTTGGTGAATGATAGCTAAACGTTTGGACCGCATTTTTCTTTTTGTAGTGTTAAGGAGAGATAACTAGCTAAAAACTAGTGTGAGCTGCCAAGGGCGGATCCAGGGGGAGGGGGGGGGGGCAAAGATTCTTTGTTTGAGTGTTGTATCGTTTTCTTGATGTGTCTTCTCATGCGCAACCGTTAAACAAAGAAATCATACTATAAGGAATGACATGTGGTCTGAAATGGGAAACAATGCGCTCAAGCTAAAAAAAGGGGTGGACATTGGATACGAAAATACATCCCAAGTGAAAATATTTATGWAAAGTTTACACTACCTCGTAATTGGGTTAACTATCTTATTGTCTTGTAGGTTTCCCTGGTGGGAAGACTTGCTTCACACGGCATCAAGAGGAAGTACATCTCCATAATCTCACCCTTCGCCTCCCAACGAGCGAAGATCAAAGATGCCCTGAAACGACAAACCAAAATGGAGGAAATACAGATCACTTCACCAATGGATTCTCAAGGTAATAATACTCGCAATTTTTATTTTATTTTTCGGGCGCCAGTTGCCTTCAGAGAAGGCTATGGCCGTCATATAGAGGCTTTGCACCATCATGTGAAGGCAGTCGTAATGAGGCAAGTTCCTAATCTGATTTACACGAGAAAGAATTCAGTTTCCTCTGGGGAATGCATGACTGCCTTTAGTGAAGGTACAAAGCCTCTATTGGAGGAAGTATCTTTGGTGAAAATTCTCCAACATGGCGGCTTGGACCTTGCGCACGCAATGTATGGCATGTCACGATCTTCGTACACTTTTTATGATTCTAGCGTCTGAAATTACCAACCTCCTACCCTCTCAAGAATCAAAATTAATAATATTAAAGAATGGAAATGAAAAATAAAACTAAAAATGGCAGACTAATATWTWTWKWTWTTTTTTTACAGGAAGTGAAAACGCTTTCGTAATCATCTCGACCGTRCGCAGCAAGACACGTGACCAAAACGCATATTCCGAACATTCTGGAAAGATTGGTTGCCTAGGAGACGCGCATCAAATAAACGTCGCACTTACTCGGGCCCGACTTGGCCTCATTATCTTAGGTAAGTTTTGATACGTCTTACAGCTGCGGCATTAACCAATCAAATGAAAGACTGCCACCACAGGCAACCCAGCATACAAAAATTTAAGTATTTGAACCGCACTCTCGAATTAATGTTATTTTGTTAAGTATGCATTAAGAATAACAGGGGTCTGGGGTCGAGAGTCAGGCGAATCGATGCTAGAAATCTTATGTATTTTGTATATTATGTTACAGGTGATCAAGACTTTCTTCGTTCAATCTCCTTATGGAACAAGCTTCTCAGTGAATATAAGTCACGTGACTGCCTTGTCGATGGACGCTCGTGGCCGTAAAAGACTGGGCGCCATCAACACCGGTTATCAATGTAAATATGAATATATATATTAAACGTACAAGCTTAAGGCTTCTAATATAATAATATAAAGTGAAGAGATTTTCTTTAGTATAGAAAACAGTGTGTTTTTTCGATTATRTATTCATTATTTTGGATCCAATAGTTTTGGTGGTAAGAAAACTGGCCGCCATATTGGATGATGACGTCACAAATGATATGTTATTGTATATGTTTTAACACACTAAAAAGGGTACAATGTTTCGAAAGAAATAAAAATAGACTAGAACTGGGGATATAAATAAAGTAAAAATTAGAGCAACC